TCTTGTCGTAATAGTCCGGAGGTAATAAATGAAGTACCACAGCAACCAGAGTCCAGAAGGCGTCCTCTTCTTCGAGGAATAAAAGTGCAATGGCGGCCAGTCTATTAAGCCCTTGACAGTAACCGACTGACGAATCATACCAGCTGTATGCAACTAGCACCCGCCTTAACTTTGCTATCTATAAAAATTAAAATAATCATACGAATAATAATTTTAAAAATAATAATTCTTTTCCAAAAGTCCACATAGGCTAGTTACAAAACAATAATACTGATAATAACTTTAGGCGGATAAGGCAATAAGATAAGTTAGAGGAGAAGGAAAGAAAGATACTATAGAGATAAGCACAAAGGCTTGCCCCAATTATAAACAGATAAGTACTATCAAAATTTGATTATTATATACATGTAATTGCTCAGGCTCGCCACAATTATGATCAAATGAGTACTATCAAAATTTGTGATTGATTATCAATCACAAATTTTGATAATACTCTTTTGTTTATAATTGTGGTGAGCCTGAGCAATTAAATTGATATTAAATTGCTCAGGCTTGCCACAATCATGATCAAATGAGTACTATCAAAATTTAATTATTATATAATTGCTCACTCACTACAATTATGATCAAATGAGTACTATCAAAATGTAATTGATATATAGTAACATATTGCTCAGGCTCGTCACAATTATGCCACCATAATTGGAATGGGCAGGTAATTAAATTAACAACAGCCATGAATATACTTAGCAGCAAGAGAGGTCTATAAAACTGAAGCAAGCTTGCATCAGTTTTATCTATTTTCCAGACGATAAACAGTGCCGGTTGAAGTTTCTCTTGTTTTATTGTTACTATACCAATAGACATGGCATGTAAGTGCAAGTTATAATATCATCAGTGATTTGATTTCCATTTTAATAGCTTACAGTGTGATCATCTATAATTTGACTGGGCTTCCGGGAAAAGTTGGTGATGTGACAAGTAATGGTTCAGAAGAACCATGTTTCACTCCAACGAATGTTAATGAAAAGCCAAGTCTAGGATGGGTAAGTTAATCTGGTAACTTTAAATATCTCACCGAGAGGCTGTGGAGTGTATAGGGCAAACCTAAAGCCCTCCTCCCCATACATAAGGCAATTCTATTGCAGGCAGTCTTTGGTTACTTTGATAATACAAGCAACATGTTAACAAGCAGCTTTCTATATTCTGGGCAACAGTACATTGTCTAAGGATTAAATTACTCACAAATTGCTGCAATAGAATTGTCTTGTATGGTGGGCACATGCAATGTTCTGACTCTGCACTATCACAGTATTTTAATTTTATAGTTCACTTTTTAAATATAGGCTATTAGCAGTGGTGAGAAAATTTCAGGCAGTTTTTCTTTCGCAATAGATGGAGTCAAATTCCAATTTGAGTTTAATTATACAATCCGACAAGACCCAGTGTTTTCTGTGGATAAGGATTCTAGTGGGAAGATAATGATAGACTATACAAAAAAACCTGCTGCTGAACACAACATTGCTCATTGTGCTGTTTACATACAAACAAAGTAAAAGACAAAGTGAGCATTCTTGGTAAACGGTGAACATTCTTGGTAAACGGACACTCATTCTATTGTAGTTTAGAACTTTTAGTACTTTTTAAGAACTTCAGGACAATTTTTTAAAAATATTTTTTGATTAATTATTACTTTTAGGAACTTAGGACAATTTTTAAAAATATTTTGATTAAAGCAATGATAATAAATATCACGCAAGTACAAGCTATCTTAATTTGTTATTAAAAGACAGTTCTGTGCATGAGGACTGTCCATTAAGGACAATCATACGTACCTGTATGAATTAACTTAGAAGTTCATAAATGCCAAACTTTTGTTGCATGATCCTGAAAATGACAGTCACCTTTGAAACACTTGTTTATACATACCGGTACATATATTACAACATGCAGATTAATTTTAAGTGATAGCTACGTATGTCTTTTTGAATGGAATATAATAAGCTGATGTTATTAATAGTTAGTATATTATTTTATTATGTCCAGTTATCATTGTTCATTTTTAATGGTCTTTTGTATAATTGGAGCAGCAATATACCACATTTCATTCAGACCTCATCTTAATTGTATTTAAAGAAGGTCTTAATCTCATTATTTATGTGCAGTTTTTGTGACACTCTGAAGCCAAAAAATAGACAAAAATTGTTGCATGGCCAATGAAGATTTGTCTACAGTAAAAAATTGCAAGCAGTTTTATTTCTCATTGGAAAATTATGTTAACCACACCCCCTAGGCATGGGCGAGATCAATGCAGCATTATTTCAATCCACTTGGATCATGGGACAATTTCCATAAATTGATCCGTATTAATAATAATAATAATAATAATAATAATAATAATAATAATAATAATAATAAAATAATAATAATAATAATAATAATAATAATAATGATAATGATAATGATAATAATAATAATAATAATAATAATAATAATAATAATAATAATAATAAGTGAATATACTTACACCAGGTGCTGATGCGTGATTGTAATATTTATTTGATGGAAGTGTTCTTAACAAGTCTAACTCAATCTGACTCAAAGCAACTGACGTCTTGCTGGCCTATGGAGGAGGGGAAAGGAGGGAGAGAAAAAAGAAAAGATATAATATGGCAGCTAGAAAATAAAGAGAGAGGAGAGAGTGATGGCATTTCGTACATTATCTGCTAATATTTGATGATAGAATCCTGGTATCTGAGAGAGAGACATCAAGTTAATTAACTATTAATAACTAGTTAATTAACTTACATATCGATTTTGAATCGTTCGTCTGACACAGAATTTCCAGACACGCCCCCTATGCTGCATGGGTACGCCCCCTCTAATTAACAACTTCAATTCAGCCTAATGATATCAATAAAACTGATTTTAACTTTTTCATTTTTAGTTTTTGGATGTCACTTTAATTCAGCATTTTATATAGATCCTTCACATAATTCACTCAAAAATCACCCACACACAAAACATAATACAGTACAAGTAAAATGAACACTAGACTCACAGTAGACACTAGCTCCCTGCCTCCAGTGTACTGGGCCATGAAGTGATCCCACTTAGCGATATGACTAGCTAGGGCTTCCTAAAGAGGCAATTAGTACATCAGTGGGTGGAGCAATAAGTTATTAGTAGTTATTAATGGTTATTAATTACGTCAGGTTGCTGGGCTTGGTCCAGTCTCTTAGCGTAAGAGTCCAGAGACTCATCAGGGTCTGCCTCGAGTTTCTCGTACTTGAAACCGTACGCATCATACTGGGTATCAGAACTATATATGAACATGTATGTATGAATAAAAAATAAAAAATTAATATTTTTCATATTATTATTGCAACACTCAGGGCTTCACACAAAGCATGCTAAGTGAGGTTAAAAGCATACTTAATTGGCTTCAAAATATCAGAAAAA